AATACAGACTACATTTTGAATGGAAGAGTTTATTTGCCTTGGGTTACACTTGATCGCGATCCGCTACACTCTTACAGGTTCTAAGTATAGAACGAAGGTCAACCACCTGAACCAAGCTTTATCTAAGCGAAAGAGCTACGGTAGCTCCGCTGCACTTGGAATGCGATCCCGTGTGAAGTTTTATAAAGTCACCTCAAATCATCTCAAACAAGTTATTAAAATATCTCAATGAAGACGTTAAAGTTTGGTGGGAAGGTATTTCTGTGTGTTTAAATGTTAAAATAGCATGTATGAAGTAGCCATTAGATCTGCTCATTTTTCCGCGCTGAACAAAAATCAAACAAGCAAGCGTGTCGAGATTCTTACGGTGTGACAATGGTGAAGAATACACTTCTAGCACAAAGGATAAGTTATGTGGAGGACGTATTATAGTGCAGAATTTTACGCCACCATACACACCTCGGCTTGATAGAGTGCCAAGTGTATGAATCATACGCTTGAAGGTTGTGTTTGCTGTACGCTGGTTTGTTAAAGACGTATTCAAGCGAAGCTGTAGCACCTGCTCCGTTCTTTGAAATCCGTGGTCGACAAGTGCTGTGGGCAACAACGTGTGTCCGCACCAAATTTGGACCGGCAAGAAACCTTGCCGGCAAACTTGAAGGTTTTGGTTGCCATGCTTATAGTCCAAGTTAAAAAAAAATTGATCCTATTTTGGCGCTCGCTCAGCTCGATGATGGCTTTTAAGCTATTTAAAGCGCAAGAAAGCTTATTGCTTGAACGCCGTTGCGTATGTGTTAGTCGTGACGCGCAGTTTGCGGGCGATATTTCGACAATGCGAGATAGAGTCACATTAACCATTCAGTCGCTGTATTAAATCACGATAATGCTCGAGACTTTACACGGTCTGATAAGACTGATATAAGTAAAGGACGCTGCTTCCGAGTTTGACTTCAGGGACAATTTAGGCAAGCGACGCCAGCGTACGCAGTCCCTTAAATAAGCGACGTAAACACCTCAACTCTAGCGCCGGTGTTGATACCAAGACCATGGAGAAATGCCCGCCGTTGCGCAAGTGTTTAAAATTGCGTACATCTTAAGTTCATTACGAGAAAATCAGTCTACTCTCAACTTGACGATGATTAAATGCGACGCAGTCGAGTGGTATTAAGCGTGCCAATTTAAGATCAAATACTTTCGCAAAACTACGACTTGGGTACCCGTGCCGTTTCTAAGAGACCGTAAGGCAACCGGAAACAGATGAGTATTTGCATCAAAGAGAATTAAGATAGCAAGATTGGGCGATACAAGGCGCTTCTTGTGGATAGCGGATCTTACAAAAATATTGTCTCAACTTTATAGATATGTTTTCACCTGGGCTTAATTCTACGTCAATACGAATTCAGCTGCGTTGGATAGCCAAGTACCAGCTTACCACTCACGAGATGGAGTAGAAACAGTATTCTGAGCGGAAAGCTTAATGAAGACAGTGGCCTGGCTGATTAAGAGATCAAGAACACCCAGTTTGTTAGGTGGAGAGAGCTATTTGTGGGCGAAACAATCGCCTCATATATAGAGTAAGACAATCAACGAATTAATGCTCGGACTGAACCTCAAGAAGTATGAGTCTGATCACTGCGTCTACGTCAAATGTGATTGGTCCCACTCTTTGTCGATCACCTGATTCTTGCAAGAAGCAACATTATAAGGCTTCAAGATACCAAATGAGCGATCAATGGCCATTTTAAGATGACAGACATGGTCCAGCTGAAGTAGGTTTTGGGATCGAAATCGGGCAAGACGTGAGAAGTAGGACAGTGACTATGCGTCGAAGCAAGATTGCGACCGACATTCTGATTCATTAAGATGAAAAAGAGCAATATCGTTAAGATACCACAAGGTTTAGGTCCGAAAGCCATGTACGAAGGAGGCTACAAGCATATCTATACTGCTTTATCGTGATGCTTTGAATGTCTTATTCTTATTTTCATAGTTTCCATGGTAGACATACGTCAGTACCTCCCAGCAGTTATAGTTTTAGGTCAGACCGAGGCCAACGAATCTACAACGCAATTACAAGCGCTCAAGG